ACAATCTCTTCTCCTCTATTTTCCTCCCAGGATTCTTGGAATGCATGCACACGTATCAGTTGTGTTTTAAGCCTCTGGGCCCAGGGCTTGAACCATAGTCGATTATGTGGGAGTCCAGTGACATAACCATTATGCCTTCTGCTGGTCCCTAGATTAACAATTTAAATGAGTTCCCAAATGTAGAACCATGATGAAATGCAACAAGTGATGTTTAATGACTTCAAATTTATTTAATTAAAAAGGCTATGCTTAGGACTGGCAGGTGGCACAGTGGTTAAGTTGCTGGACTCCCACATGGCTGATCACAGTTCAATATCCCAGACCTGGTGGCTTGCCTTCTCAGTTTCTCTTTCTCTCTCTCTGGTCAAATTCGATAAATGATAATAACAAATAAAATTAAATAAATTATCCCCTTTTAAAAAGGCTTAATTTTAAAAAGTCTATGCTTTATTCTGATATTGATGCCTTCTCTACTTTTGGGGTAATAAAATAGTAGTGACAGCAGAAGGTAATGTGATTCAAAAACAATCTTGGCAAAATGAAAGGCTTTCAACACTGTCTTGGTCCCTAAATTTCAATAGTCTCTTACCCTATGTAGACATTTATTTTCTCTCTCTGCCTTTGATTAAAAAACACTAGGCTGGGGGCTGGCAGGTGGCTTAGTGATTAAGTTGCTGGACTCCCACATGGCTGACTGCACTTTGAGTCCAGACTTGGCAGCTTCTTTTCTTACTTTCCCTTCTCTCTCTTTCTTTCTGGTCAAATAAAATAATAATAATAATTTAACTAATTAAAATAAAATAAATCTGGGGAACAATGACAACAAACTAGCACTAGGCCAGCCAGCCAATGTGGTAGTTAAAGAAGCTGAATTCCCACATGGCTTACTTAGCAGTTGGAGTTTCAGACCTGGTGGTTCGAAAAACATGCTGGGGATGTATGCACATGTGACCAAGATCCTGACAGAAGAATGAAGGAGAAGGGACTGTGGCATGGCCATAACCCCAAGAGGATGCTTTCCTTCTCATTTTCCTTCTCTCATTCTGTCTCTGTTTCTTGCCTGTAAATGCACATATTCTATTAATAAAGTAACATATATTATATATGTAGAAAAGCACTCAATTGGAAGACATTTGAACATCTATGTTTGTTGCAGCATTATTTGCAATGACTGAAATATGAAACTAGACTGGGACCAGGAGGTGGTGTAATGGTTATGTTGCTGGACTCCCACATGGCTAACCATAGTTCAAGTCCCGAACCCGGAAGCTTTAAAACTCACACTGGGCATGCATGTGTGTGCCAAAATCCTGAAAGGAGAATGGAGGAGAAGGGATTATGGCATTGCCTTCCCCTTTGGGGGATGATTTTTCGCTTTCTGACTCTGTCTTTCCAGCAAAAAAATATAGCAAAGATCTCTAATTAAAAAAAAAATAATAATAAAAGAAAACAAGAACATGGAACTAACCTAAGTGTATAAAAACTGAGTAATTGGGTTGAAAAACTGTGGCACATATACACTATGGAATATTATACAGCTATAAGAAACAATGATATCCTATTGTTTGACTCAAAATCGATGAAAATGGAAGACTTAATATTTAGTGAAGTGAATCAGGCTTTGCCATAGGGCGGGCACCACCACGCCCATGAGTCAGACTTTGAAAGATACACATTATATATCCCCACTCAATTTGTATTGAGTGCTATAGCAGAGGTTGAGAGATCTTTAGCCTTATGGTGAAGAGGATGGGTATGGATGCTAGAGAGAGAGAGGATCTTAGAGAGTGGGTGGTGGAGGGTGAGTATGAGGTGCAGAAGGAGGAAACACCTGATAGAAAAATGTCAAGTTCTTTGTTGCAAAAACAAAATGCCAAAAACACAAAACCTCAAAAAGTCTATAGGCAGATCTGGTTGGTTTGTTAGTTCAGAGTAAACTGTTCTAGTAAGATCTGAACTCAGGCACAGGAAATTCTGAATGCAGTCCTTTGAATTTCTAGATAGTTGTCCAATAGTGACCTCCATAGAAAATACTTTCTGAACTGTTAAACATCATTCCAAAGACCACTCATGGTTTTATTTGTCAAGTTATTTGAAACCCGGGCTCATTTTTAAATTTGATGGAATTTCTTTGATTTTTAATCCTTTGACTAGAAATCATCTTGGTTTTGAAATTAATTTGATAATAGTACAAACTGGCTAATAATTAACAACATATAAATATTACTGCCTGTTACTCAGAGTTTCTTTCATTTAGTTTTCACTACCTTTACATTGTTTAGTGGATTGCTATGCAGAGAGGTTAAGAAATTTGCCTAAGGACACAGAGCCTGGAGCTGGATTTGTAAATATTTGGGACAGCCCTGCAGTTTAGCATAACAATATGAGAAAGGACCTTTATCATTCAATAGCTGTTGAGAAATAGTTTCTTGGTTTGGAAGGATCTGACTAAACCTCTGGACATCGTTATTAAACATATATATGTCCAGAATTGAAAATTATTAGCATTAATATTGTACACTATTTCAGTTTTGCATTTAAGATCAATATATAATATATTCCCCCCACCCCCACCCCGTGACCTTTAGTTTCCCCGGTAATAGAATAATTTCTTTAATCCATTTGCTTCTTAAAAAGTTGATAATAAAAAAAAAAGCAGGAAATACATACATACAATTAAAAAAAAAAACCTCAGGGTAAAACCTCCCAGTTTATGTGGATAGATTTTCTATTAACCCTGTTGAGCTGAATTTGTAACACTTTTAGGAGGGGTCCTGTTGCTACTTAGAAAGGAAGTTTGAAATAGTGGAGAGAACAGGGGCTTGGAGAAGTCTGACTTTAAATCCTAGCATTGTGTTAACTTCATTATTTCCATTTTGTACATGAATCCATGTAAGCTCAGAATTACTGGGAGTCCAAGGTGGAGATCAGACTTGGAAGAAAAAACAACTTTCATTTGTTTCCTAATTTATGCTCAATTGACTGATAAGGGAAGGGAATGAAACAGAAAATTAGGGAGAGTGGCTTGAGGAGGGCTAAAAGAAGATAAGATCATTGCAGGGATATGGTGATTCCATGGATTTACTTTTGTTTTTGTCTCTTCTTGAGTAGAGATTTCATACCTGAAAAAATTATCATGTTTAAGCACAGTTCTATATAAAAAGCTTAGAAGGAAAAAAGTACCTTATTTACCATTATCTTTTATGCATTTATAAAAAAAAATCACTTTCACAAAAGTCAGTGTTTTCAACAATACTGTTTAAAATATTTATTTCTCATGTAACTACCTGATTAGTATGTATTAATTAAAAAGGTAACTTGGAAGTTATTCTTTCAACTAGATTTAGTTTTACATATTCATTTAAACAATGAAATCTTTTCTCCTTCCACTGTATAAAAGACCACACTTCTGCTTCTTTTCTATACCCTTTGCCTCAGTAGTTAAAAACAAACAAACAAACTGAAAGTGGTGTGTTTTGCAATATTGATGATCAACTAAACTCAGGATATTTATTTCCATCTGGTAGAGTTCAACTTCTGCCTCTTGTTTTGTTTGCCTTCTCCATCTGTCTGCCTCTCCTTTATCTTTTTTTTTTTTTTTCCCTCCTCCTTAATGGAGCTCCGGTTAACCCTGCTTCTCCTTTATCTTTTTTTTCCCCCTCCTCCTTAATGGAGCTCGGGTTAACCCTATTTTAGGCCTAATTGTTTTAGCAGGCTTAAGACTTCTCACAATGTTTTCAAAAGTTCAAATTTTATCTTTTTCTTCTATTTGTATAAAAAGCATTAGAATCCTAAGGCTTGGACGAGATTTGAACTAGGAAAAGAAAATCCTGATTTGTGCATACATGATTTAAAATGCGTTATATATGTATTTTTTAAAAAATCTAATCTCTAAAGGATCTATGTTATAGTATTTTCTCTCCAGTAGCTACTGCAGCTTTTCTATCCGTATTAAGCTGGATTCCGTAAGGTTTCTACTCTGCTCCCCTTTGACTCCTGAAGTTACTAAAACAGCAACTACAAATGGCCTTACTAACCTACTTTATTTTACAATTAAGCTTTTATAAAGACATCCCAACCTTTACCCAGAGTGGAGCAGAAACGGCTCCATAGCGCTGCGAGTGGACCTGATCTCCCCGAGGCTGCAGTCTGGTTCTCCGACCGAATGCCGGAGTCTGTGCGCTCCACTTTTCCCTGCACGGTCGCTGAGCACCTCCCACACCCACAGAGCGGGAACACGCAGCCAGCGCGCTGCATGCTCCTCTGGTAGGAGCCAGCCACCGAGCGGGCTCGGGATGTAAACACTGAGTAGGGGAGGAAGCCGGAGCTGCGGTCATACAGCCTGATCCAAAAAAGCGGCGCGAGTGTAGACACAGCCTGGGTCAGGATGCTCTCCTCTACACTGCACTTAACCCTCCAAGACCGCGGGCAGGCACAACACTCACTGGAGGACTCACTGGCTCAGGTCCTCCGCCAGCTACAGCAGGAAGGAGGAGCTAAGGCGAGGGCGGAGCTTTCACACGCGCACCCTCGGTATCCTTAGTCTCTCGACACAGCAAGTCGGTCTCCAGCCTCCACTCGGGGTTTATTTGTTTACAAGCGGATTACGTCAGCTCCTCCCTCTCTTCCCGGTCTCTGGGCCCGCCCCTTGGGTCCTTTTCCCGCCCCCTCCGTCTCCGAATCTGCTTGCGTCACAATGGTGCGATCTCCGGATTGGCTAGAGTGGTCCGTCACGCTCCGGCTACGCCACTTCCTTTCCGTGGCACTATAAAAAGTGCTGCACGGCGGCTGCATCTCTTCGCCTCTCGGAGCTGGAAATGCAACTGTTGGGATCTTCCGAGGCAACGGAGCTGGAGGCGGAGGCGGCTGGGGGGGTCCGAGCGATGTGACCAGGCCGCCGTCGCTCGTGTCTTCCTCTCTCCTGCCGCCTCCTGTCTTGAGAATAACTTTTTTACTCTAAAGAAAGAAAAACAAAGTAGCCGCCCGCCCCTCACGTCCTCTTTGATGGGCGAGATCGCCGCCGCCGTGTCCTTCATCTCCAAGTTCCTCCGCACCAAGGGGCTCACGAGCGAGCGACAGCTGCAGACCTTCAGCCAGAGCCTGCAGGAGCTGATGGCAGGTGAGCGGGCTGCGGCTGGAGGGCGGAGGGTTCGAGGACCACCGGGAGACGCGGGCCCCATATTCCCAGGTTGAGGTTGGGCCGTCGGGGCCACGGGAGCCTCGGTAGCGCCCCGGGACAGCCGCGCTCGGGTCCCGTCTCGGGACCTTGCTCGTCGCTCTTGGCGTCCGCTAACGGCGGGTCCTGGCGTGGGTTTGGGGTCTGGGCCGCGGGCGCCCCCTTCCCCAGCCTGGTAAGCGGGTGAGAGAAGAAAACAGTCGCACAACAAAGAAACTACGGACCAAGGCGGGAGCTGCGGTCCTCGGACTGTCGGCGGGTCTGGGGACAAAGGAGCTGCGGGGCTGGGGGTTGGTTCGACGCCCCCTCCCCCCACCTCCTCCAACCGTTGCGGGGGTCGGCTGGCTGGCCCAGGGGTGGGAAGCCGAGCTGCTGCCCCGGAGTCAGCTCGGGGCGGACGTGCAGTCTCCCCGCGGCTCCTGCCCCTGCCCATTAATCATCGGATTTGTCACCGGTACAATTACAGCCCTGCCCAGAACGTGGTTTAGGGTTGCTTGTTTTTCTTCCCTTCGGGGTTAACAGTCTGGTGGCGCTTCTCTCCTCCAAAGCCATAAACCCCATTGTGTGAGGCTGGGGTGGAGAAAGTAAACAGGTTCCCGCCTGGCGGGCAGTGCCATCCGGCTCCGCGGCTGGTGGAGGCAGTGCGCGGGATTCCTGTTTTGGTGGCTCAACCGGTTGGTTCCTGGACATTGTTTTGTCGGTAGTGTGTTATTTCTAAAACCCTACGGGTACTTTCCGCATCTCGGCAAATACACAGGAGTGAGTACAATCGTGGACGTTTTAGAAAGTTGATAGTTTTCGTTTTTTCTCCTCCAAGGGAGCCGGCGGGAGAAACAAACTACCGCTGAAGCCAACAGTAATGATCTGAGCATTGTTTCTCTGTTCTTTTCTCCTGTAGAACATTATAAACACCACTGGTTCCCAGAAAAGCCATGCAAAGGATCAGGTTACCGTTGCATTCGCATCAACCATAAAATGGATCCTCTGATTGGACAGGCAGCACAGCGGATTGGACTGAGCAGTCAGGAGCTGTTCAGGCTTCTCCCAAGTGAACTCACTCTCTGGGTTGACCCCTACGAAGTGTCCTACAGAATTGGAGAGGATGGCTCCATCTGTGTGCTGTATGAAGCCTCACCAGCAGGAGGTAGCACTCAAAACAGCACCAACGTGCAAATGGTAGACAGCAGGATCAGCTGTAAGGAGGAACTTCTCTTGGGCAGAACAAGCCCTTCCAAAAACTACAATATGATGACTGTATCAGGTTAAGATATAGTCTATGGATGGATCATCTTATAATGGATGGATAAATTTGATTTTTGCTTTGGGTGGGCTCCTCTTGGGGATGGATTATGGAATTTAAACCATGTTACAGCTGTGAAGATCTGGCACAAGATAGAGTGGTAAAAAATAATTTTAAGTGACAGTGCCATAGTTTGGACAGTACCTTTCAATGATTTAATAGCCTGTGAGTCCAAGTAAATGATTGCTTTATTTGCTAGGGAGTGAAGTCCTAGGGTGGTTTCAGTTTCTCCCATACATTATATCTAAATTTTTACATCAGTCTTTTATTGAAAAATCTGTATTTCAAAGAGTCTTTCTCTGCAGTAGATCTTGCAGAGAGATTTGCACTATTACACTTGAAAATTGTTATTGTTAACTTTTTTGGCAGCTCATTAGGAAAGCTCAACGTTTTAAACATGGTAGTACTGGAAATTTTATGACAAGACTTTTACCTAGCACTTAAATATGTATAAATGTACATAAAGACTAGTAAGCATGACCTGGGAAAATGGTCAGACCTTGTATTGTGTTTTTTGGCCTTGAAAGTAGCAAGTGACCAGAATCTGCCAGGGCAACAGGCTTTAAAAAAGACCCTTAAAAAGACACTGTCTCAACTGTGGTGTTAGCACCAGCCAGCTCTCTGTACATTTGCTAGCTTGTAGTTTTCTAAGACTGAGTAAACTTCTTATTTTTAGAAAGTGGAGGTCTGGTTTGTAACTTTCCTTGTACTTAATTGGGTAAAAGTCTTTTCCACAAACCACCATCTATTTTGTGAACTTTGTTAGTCATCTTTTATTTGGTAAATTATGAACTGGTGTAAATTTGTACAGTTCATGTATATTGATTGTGGCAAAGTTGTACAGATTTCTATATTTTGGATGAGAAATTTTTCTTCTCTCTATAATAAATTGTTTCTTATCTTGGCATTTTAATCAATCTCTTGTCATGATTGTAGAGGTTCAGCTCAATATTTTTCTCAGAAGACAGGTTCTATGAGCTATGTGAATCAGTTGCACACTGATGCTGAGAGAACACTTGAGGAATGAAGATGATCTGGGTATGCTTATTTAGGTGTTAAAGGAAACACAGAAGTAAGGTTTTTAAAAACTCTTAAAAGTCAAAGCATGGACACATTCACAGGCTAAATGATCTCATGAGGATAAGAGACAAAGGTAACATCTACCAAAACAGTGATTCTCAAAGGATTACATTTTATTGCTTCCCTGTTGAAGTGAAGATATAAAGGTTTTATTAAGACCCACCTTTGAAAAACAATTATTTTGCCCCATGGATTTCTTGTTCAATTAGAAAATCTTGGGGCAGGTGACCCTTAGTCCTAAAGAACAGGCTAATCACTGCAGAGAGATTGGTTGGTTTTTGCTTTTCATCATCTGCAAGATTTGCATTAAAATCACTTAAACTGGAATTCAACAAAAGGTATGTTTATGAACTTTTATTCTCAAAAATTAAAATGCTGACTCTTGATTCCTCATTTCCAGACTTATTTCCGATAAATTCTAAGAATCTAAGTGAGCACTGAGAATGCTATAGAATGACACATTTTGAATTTCTATGTGTGAGATTAAATTATCCAGATTTAGTAGACCACACAGGACTACATAGCTAAACAGAGGGCTGTTTAGGATACAATTAACTGTGTATCTTACTGGTAGGGCATCCTGGTGGGGGTTTTGAGTTCTTAACTCAAACAACACAGAGACTATCTTTGCCAGTTGTTAATGGTTTTGTTTTTCTGTGTTGTGAAAAGCCTTTAGGTTTTTCAGATTTGAATTTGCAGTTAAAAAACTGGTAGTGCAGTTGTGAAATTGGTCTCACCCCAGTGTTGATTGCTATTGTACTAACTGCATTTCAATCTGGTAAACTCTGAAGTTAAGTAAATGATAAAACTTTGCACACTGACTCGCTGGGACCTAAGGTGAGGAGGATTTCTGGACAGGTTAGGACTGTATTTAGTACTTAAAACTTTGCTTGGTACATAAAACCTTTTCTCAAATGGTACATTGATTTTGAAGATCTTGACTTCAGGATTTTGGTACTTAAAAAAATTTGGTGGGAAGGAAAAAAAAATGTTTATTTTAGAATTCAGGTGATGTCTGGCATGTGAGGAACCATTTAAGTTCCTCTTTAGAAAGCTTGCCAAAATTACTTTGAGACCTAGAATCCAGCTGTTTCCTGTGACTACCTCACTGTTCCCCACACAATTGAGCTGAACCTGTGTCTGCAGACAGTGGCTGTTTGATGGTTCTTGCTCACTGCTTCTGGGGAATGTTTTGCTCATCTATTTTTACTGAAAAAAAAAAATTGCTGTATGCACATATTGGTGTGTGCTACATGTAGTCATTCATTTATACTAGTTGTATTTATTTATTTTAAATTATAGTGGTATAATTTTGAAAGGTTTTACATTGCCTGAAAAAAAATTAGAGATCCTTTAAGAAAGAATGACTGCTTTCAAAATTATTGGCACTAGTAATTCATGGTTATGATTGGTGATAGAAGAATGTTACTAAGTTTTAAAATTACATATTTTCAAATATAAGTATTGTCTTACTCCAAAGTGCTAAAACCAGGCTTAAAGTGGATTTTATAGCAAGCATTATCCTAGTGCATTTAGAATAATTGGCTATTCCCTTTGTCATATGGAATGGGAATCACTTGTCTTACTCTAATTCTCAACATTTCTATAAAAATAAACCAGAAAGGCCACTAGTAAATGACTTTTTGGTACAGTTGCACAGATCCTTAAGTCTGGGGATAATTTTATTTTACCCAGGCATTAACAAATTATGAAACTGGCCTTCACATTAAATGGATGGAGGCAGTATTTCTGGTTTTTGTTCCTTAAAAACAAATAAATCGGCTACTTAGACTTGTCTTAGTAATTTCTAATGTTTCTGATACTCTCTCCTTGCTCCTTACAAAAGAGAAGTATGACAACTGAAGCTGTATTTTATGTATTGAAGTTTAAAGATACCTTCTCTCTCCTTTTTCAGATGATATAGCAAGATGCTCTTGATAAAAACTCTAGGGAGATAATTTGTCAATAGCTTTATGCACAGGAGACTTAAGAAAGTATATGTTGATTGCCTAAAACTGAATAGATTTCTAATTTCTCTGAAGGCATACAGACTGCAAATAGTTGAGACTTGTCGGTCTTCATTGGAACTTTTTATATATGGCTGTCGGACTGTATATTTACCAGAGAAGTCTGTATGAGTTACAATTTCTATTGTCTATAGACTTTAATATTTTCTTCTGAGAATACATATGGTAAAGGAACATTTGTAAGAAGCAAGAGATCAAATTTTGTATTTTTGAAATGTGTCTAAATAGGTAAATTTAGTCTTAGATTGTATTAATAGTGAGGATTGACCTTTTCCTCAATAATTTATGGAGAACAATTCATACCAGTTTTCTTGACTGCAGTTTTAACTTGGTTTATCAATTTCTTTTCACTTGTTCAGTGTGTCACACATAAGAATGGAAAGTTGAAAAGGTTAAATTATTTTTTTAATGCTTCTTGTCCTCTCATGGTTGAATGATCCTAAGGAACATTTTGGAGTTCACCTTCTGACTTTCATATAAGCCTTTTCATGGTATTTATCATTTCGGTGTTGAAGATGCAGTGTTCTTTATTCTTATGCTTATAGAGAGTATTAATACTTGAGAATGAAATTTTGAGTGTAGAGGTGAATGAAAAGGGAAAAGATAAGGGAAATGAAAAGTGAAGAAACAGGTGAGAAGGGAGAAATTGAAAGGTTTGGTGAGAAATTTATTTGCTGTGGTCATAAGTATAAATATCAAGACAGATATGTGTAGCACTATCTTTTGGCAGAGATGTGGGCATCACTACAGCAGGGATTCTTCCATTCATGACATAGGGCAAAATCTGCACTTGTTTTTGTAAACACTCAGGTTAAAGTGGCAGCACTGGTTTATGGCCCTGTGAAGAAATGTGTCTTGGGGGGGGAGGTGGGGATGGGAAATGTAGGAAGATTACTCCTAAAGGCATTTTTACTGAAATTTGAATATGGCATGCCTGTGCCTTTGTCTCAGTTTTTTATATAGGGAAAACATTTTTAAGCTCTCTTATAAACTTCTTGACAATTATAACTTCTTTCCTTGTACCTTATAGTTGTGAAGGCCATCTGTGACCCCATTCCTGGTGGTAGAAGGATGATTAAGTATAGGCTGGACAGTTAACATCACAGTAGGGACCACCAGCCAGGGGAATACAATCGAGTTAACGAGATTCATGTATTTGAAGAATATCATATTAAATATGACTTACAATTCCTATCTAATATTGATAGGAGACATTCACTCATGGGTACCTTGACTTTTAATGATTCTCCTGCTGGCCATATCCAAAGTTAGTTTATGTCATTCTTTTAAAGTACTTTTGGATATGTTTTTGTGTATGCAGAAGCACACGCTACATTTTAAAAACGCATAGATACTGGGAATACACTGAAATTTTGTTGATAGGGTTGGAGGATCAAAGATATTTAGAGACCATTTTTTCAAGATTATTAAAGTGGATTAGTATTTGCTCTCCCTAATGTAACCATAATCACTATGTTCTTTCTGTGTTAAGTCTTAAAATATTAGAAGCCGTTGTAACAATACAAAGGATTGCCTTATATAATTTCAGCCTATCTGCCCAAGTCCTTATTTGTAAAATCTTTTTCAGCCAACCCGTGCTCAAAATGAAGCAATTCCAAGTCTACCAATCCCAAGTCTATATTTATTTCTACATATTAACCACATATTGCTATTAACTGAAGTTTATACACTTTTATGTTTCTTTGAAATTTCCTTTCAAAATGTTAAGGTCTTGGTAACATTGATATGTATAATTGTCAATGCTGTAGATCCATGACTAAATCATTTTTAGCAGGTATGGTTTAGCCAGATGTCTCCTATCTGGAGCCATCCTTAAATTTTTGGAAGGAAAGATGACCAATAAATTACTTCATTGAGATATGGGTATAAACTTAAAATGACTAAACTTGACAGTTGCTGGATTGAATACATTTTCTAGTTTTCTAGTCAATAGATTTAAATGGAGTTGTATTTCCTATGATTTGCAGCTGTGAGTCTTTATCAGCATACATTCCTACTTGACCCTCCAACAACTGGGTGAGATTGGTCGGTAGGTCAATATCTTACCCTCATTTTATGGTTAGTAAACAGGCTTAGAGAGCTTAAGTAATTTGCCCTGAAGCCCAACAACTAGTAAGCAGCTAACTGACAATTTTCCAGGCCTTTCTGATCCCAGAACTTACGCTCTTAACTATTGATATATTATGATGTCTGATTTATTTACCTTGTTTCACATCGTTTAAATTTATCTTTTAACTAGTTGGCCATCTTTGGTTTTCCTAAGTCAGTCTGTCTTTCACTCTCCATGCCTGGGAGGCATAAAACATTTACTAATAGGCAGTTGGGATTTACTATATTAGTCTTAGACTCACATGAGTTCAAATCCTAGCCTGTACCAGCTTGTGACTTTGGACCATTTAGCTTCTTTGAGCCCATGTGTACTTGGTGGGTAAAAATGGGGATAATGATTTTGTTGTTGAGGACAGATAAAGACATGAGAGCACGTAGCAATAGTTGCTGGATTCTTGGAACTTAAATTATTATGGAGGCCATTAGGCATAGTAGATGGTTTTCTTGTTATTATTTTGAAAATTTGACCAAAGTGTGATTGTGGTTGGAGTGTCTGGAAAATCTGCTTTAGCTAATAGCTGTAACTTACAGAGCTGTCCCTGGGGCCGAGTTATTAAGGGAGCTGGATCCCACAAGACTCACTACAGTTTGAATCCCAGCCCCAGCCACTTGAAAAATATGCCCCAAATCCTGACAGGATAGACAAATGGAGAAGGGATTGCAATGTGACCAGGCC